TGAAATTTATTAGATAATTATTAATTAAAAAATGTGATCACAAATTAAAAAATTAAAAAGGATAAATTTGTCAATAAAATTAAAAAATTCTAATCCATTAGCGGTTTGGTACAAAAGCTATATAAACTAGTTTTTTCAATCCGCTAGTTTCAAACCACTAAATAAAAATTTTACCAAAACACTTTAGTTGTAGTAGTTTCAAAATATATAAATTTACTAAACACCTATATTTAACGGTTTAGGTAAAATCACTAACCGCTACTCAAAACCGCTATACCAGACGTGACCTAAATTAACTCCTCTCATGCTTGCGCTGATTGCCAAACGTGTTGATATTGGACAGAGACAGATACCATGCTTGCCAGCCCTGCATCAAGCTAGGGCTTGAAACGGCCCAATAAATTTATTGAGAAATGAGAATTGAGATTATGGATCCAAAAATTCTTGGTTAGGTTGGCCCAAAAGTGTAGGAGATTTTTACAAATAGATTATGGAGTACGGACCCAGTTCAATTTTCCGTGACAATTTTTTAAAATATTTTTTTTTCTTTTTTCTTTTTCGAACTATTACATTTGGGAAGGTGAAAAGTAAAAATTAATTTTTTTTTAAATTTATTAAAAGTTTGAAATTTTATGACATTTTCAACTATATGTATCCATATTACACGAGAAACTTGGGTTGTAACCCAGCCATTGACATTAATCCCCCTCCCCTTTAAGTTTGTAGTGTAATTGCTCATGTTAAAAAGTAAAAAAGTTGGGTAAATTGGTTAATTCTTTATCTTATTAATTAAAAATTTTTTAATATTAAATTATAAATTAAAAGATAATATTTTTTTATTTCTTTATATATTTCAATACATATTATAAAACTTATACTTAAAATATATATTTTTTTAAAAATTACTTTTAAATTACTCAAGTTATCAATACCTTACTTACCAATGTTAAACTTTAGATGGACCACAAATAATTAATCCAAAATTTTTGTCCCGAAAGGATGACAAAATAGTAAACTTCCTGCGTAGGTAAGGAAGTTTCCTTAGATACTTCTCAGAAAATGTCCTTTTCTCATTTTACATGAGAAATTGCAAGATGGGACCTTCTTTTTTCCTAAATTTCTCTCTACCTTTCAAACGTAAGACTATCATCCATGACACCCCTTGAAGATTTAGTTAAATTGACTTCTAAGTCATGGTACTGAAGTTGGGTAATCCAGCACTTCTAAGTCAATGGCACGGAAGTTGGGGACAAGGGTTTTCTCCCCCATAATTTTTTTTTTAAAGATTATTAAAAATTATTAAAATTTTACTTTAATTTAATTATTAAAAATAATTATTAATTAATAAAATAATTAATATATTATTTATAAAAAATTAAATTCAATTTATAAACAGATATT